AACGGACTATTCCTAAAGTTGCACGGTAATGTACCAAACAGTGTTTCTTTGCTATTCATAAGGTTTTCCCTGGCCAATTCTTTCAGAAGTGGACGGCCATACGATATCTTATGTGTCTCAAAATAACAACACTTCCTCAGTTCCCAGCTTCTTTGCTCTCTCAGTCACTGTGCTTGCTCTATCTCCTTTTCAGATTGGCACTCAGTCTAATTTTTTATCCTCTCGTGTGCTCAGGTTTGCAGGATTATTATTTGTATCTGTTTCACTTGATTTTTCCAGGTCTCAGTTTTAGAGAGATTGGGTGGGGTTGTGTCACTAGTACACCATCTTTGTCTCTGCCTCCTAAAGCAGTTCTTGAAGTGTTCAGGTGTTGGATATATATATGTATTTATTATTGTTTTAAAAAATTACACTAGCCATGAAAATAATTTCTCACTTTTTGTTGCACATGTACCTTGGTGTCTTCATTGTCCTTAGGGCATTATAGGCTCTTGATAAATATTTGTTGAATGGATTAAATATTTAATAGTTAAGGGCCTTATCATTTTTTTCTGTTGTTTACTCATTTAGGAAGGCACTTTGGTGGCACAGTGCCTAAGGCATTTGACTGCTAAGCAGAAGGTTGGCAGTTCAAGCCCCCTAGCCGCTCTGTGGAAGGAAAGTGGGGCAATCTTCTTCTGTAAACATTTTCCACCTTGGAAACCCAACGGGGGTTGCTATGAGTTGGTATTGACTTGATGGCAGCGAGTTTGGTTTTTTGTTTTGGGACCTGTTTAGGAGATATTACAAGTCTTAAGTTTTAAGAAAACCACAAATGTAGGCTAGCCTAATTAAACATGTACATAACAGAAATTTTTGTGTGGATATACTAGCTACTGTGTTCATACCAAATGTTGATCTCTCTAATCTTTCTTTAGTTATAACATTGCGTAGCCAACAATAATTTTTCAAAAAATTTTAAAATGTTTTATTTTGTTTTAGGGGAAACTTTTCATAGTAAAGTAGTTTTCTATTAAACAGTTTATGCTCAAATCATTCCATGACCTTGGTTGCTATCCCTGCAATGTGTCAGCACTCTCCCCATTTTCACCCTGACTTCTCTGTTTCCATCCCTTCAGTTTCCCTGCCCACATTGCCTTCTTATTCTTTTTTTTTTTTTGAGGGTGCAAATGCTGCCTGATTGATCTCTTATAGTTGATTGTTTTACAGAGCACATTCCTCACGGGTGTAAATGTTTATTTTGTTGTTGTTTTGTGTCGTTGAGTTCGTCTCTGACTCATAGCGACCCCTTCTTGGGTTTCAGAGGCAATGTCACTATGGAAGTAGGTTGCCCAAACTTCCTTCTGAGGAGTGGGTGGTGGGTTTGAACCGCAGATCTTCTGTTTAGCACTCAAATGCCTTAGGCACTATGCCACCAGAGCTCCTGTTTGTTTTGTAGGTCAGTTTCTTATTTGACTGAGAGAGAACCATTGGAAGTGCCTCTAGTTTGTGTTAAAAGGTAACTTTGGACAATAATCAGGGGTTCCTCCAGTCTCTGAGTCAAGTAAGTCTGTTCTTTTTTTTCTTAATGAATTTGAGTTTTTTCCTACTGTTTTCTCCAGGACCTTCTATTGTTTCCTGTAGTAAGAGCATCCTTTAGTGGTTGTTGTTGTTGTTGTTGTTTGCCGTTGAGTCGGCGCTGACTCATAGCGACCCCTCCTTGGGTTTCCGAGGCAGTATCACTACGGAAGTAGGATTGCCTAACCTTCCTTCCGAGGAGTGGCTGGTGCGTTTGAACCGCCAGCCTTCTGGTGAGCAGTCAAGTGCCTTAGCCACTATGCTACCAGAGCTGGTAGGTGGTCATCATCTTCAGGTCTTAGTCTGGAGGAGGCTGTGGTTCATGTGGGTTGCTAGTCTTGTGAAAGGTTCACTTCCGTGAATCTTTGGTTCCTTTTATGCTTCTTTACTCCAGACAACCAGAGACCAATCGTTGTGTATCTTAGATGGCTGCTTTCAAGCTTTTACAGCCTCAGACACTACTCACTAATTAAGATGTAGAACATGCTCATTACCAACATTTGTTTATTTTTGTTCAGTGCTCTAGTTGACCAAATGCTGTTTTATTGATTCTGTGAAGATTTCAGCCTTGGAAAACTTGGGGGGGGGGGCAGTTCCTAGTATGTACTGTAGGGTCACTATGAGTCAGAATCAACTTGATGGTAGGGTTTTTTTTTTTTAAATGTTGAAATATAATACTGAAACTTTCTGAACATTATTTCTCTTGAAAATTCTTTTCTGGACTTACATCTAGAAGTTATTGTTGTGAACATCAAGTATTGGTCCATACAGACATTATGAATAACACAACTCTTTAGAGATAATTTGCATTTGTGGATAGAAATGAGATTATTAATATAGTTTTTCTTAATATTTTTAAGGTTGAAAATTCTTAGAGGCTCCAAAAATTAAATATGCATGTGTGAAATTATTTTTAAAGGATTTTAAAATGATTTACTTACTTGTTTTGATTAGTTTAGCTACCAGATTTAGTGTTAATAAACTAGATGTCCAGTGTCACCTAGTGTTATTGGTGGCATTTTAAGTTCTTAAAACTTGATGTTAACATTTATTTTCTGGGTAGGCTTATTATGATATCATCTTAATTGAATGCTGTGATATATATTAGTCATTTAATATTACATGCAGGATTTTATAAATTATACACATATAATTTCATACATGTTCTAAAAGGACAATTATATTCCATAGATGAACTTGGAACACGGGCTATTTCATGTATATTCTTTAGTATTTCTGTTTTGAAAGACAGTGCTTATTAAAGAACTAATAAAGGCAGATAGGTTTTTATACATCATGATAGTTCTCATAGTAAATTTTTGGTTCTATATTTCACATTTCATTTTGAAATAAGCAGTGGTGTTTTGACATTAATGCCATTGGATTTCTTTCTCTTTATAGTTTCTTCAAGTGAATTAGAATGTGTTTTATTTAGATTGTTCTGTAACTTAAATTTTTTTTAAAGAATCAAAAAATTTTATGTAATAAAAATATATGTAGAATTACTTGAGAAAATTAATTCTTCTCCAGATTCCTCAAAAATTAATTCTTCTCCAGATTCCTTATTCTCAACTTCTCAAAAAAATAACCCAACAAAATGTCATTTGTGAGCAGTAAGTCTTGAAAGAAAGTCATTTTAGTTGGTTGACTACTACATTTTAATTTCACAGCATAGTTTCATTATTATGTTAGACCCTACATTGCTGAAAAATATTTTAAGATGCATTGATATGACTCTAAATTTAGTGCTTTAATTTTCTCACTTTCCTCTTGCAGCATTTTCAGTTAGCTTTGGTTGACTGTAATCCCAGCACTTTGTCCAATGCTGAAAGTAAGTATTACTCAGTATTATAATTTTCTACCTATATTCAGATTACTTCATGAAAGTTGATGATGCTGATGTTGTTGTTAGTGATAAATCCTGTGCAATTTTTTCTTCTAGAATTATTAGGTTGAATTTTGTATTGGTTGCTATGGCTACTTACACAAATAGAACTTGTGGACTGGGCTTTGTCTAAAATCGATACACGAGTGAAGTTGATTGTTTAATTAAAATTAATCTGCATTAATGAACACTCTGGTGACATAGTGCTTAAGGCACTTGACTACTAACCAGAAGGTTAGCAGTTCAAACCCACTGGTCACTCCTCATAAGGAAGATTGGGCAATCTACTTCCATAGGGATACTGCCTCGGAAACCCAAGGAGGGGTCACCATGAGTCGGGGACGACTTGATGGTACATGACAACAACAATGAACAATATTGACTATTTGTGGATTGATAATATTATAGATGTCTTGAGGGTGTTGAAAGAAGAGTTTCCTTTTTTTTTTTTTTTTTTAGGAAAAGTGATTATGCAGATTCTTACGTGGTAGATCACAGATTCCTGCCGTGTGGTATTAAAATTATTTGTAATTATGAAGACATAGGAGCTCTGATGTAGTGCCTGAGGCATTTCACTGCTAATCAGAAGGCTTGCGGTTCAAACCCATGAGCCACCCCTTGGAAGAAAGATTGGACAATCTACTTCCATAGGGATGCCGCCTCAGAAACCCAAGGAGGGGT